TCTGGACAGCAGCTCTGGGGCTCAGAGCAGTGCTGGCCGTGCTCTCAATGGGTTCCTTGTTCCCAGGCCTGTGCAGATCRCTCCAGTGTTCCCAGTTTCACAGCCCTGCTGGTGTCTCACTCCCTTTCCCAGCCCCGTGGATGTGTTTGCTCACAGTCAGGGAGACTCTTGTCTGTGCTGCACATTGCAGTGGGCTGCAGTGAATCTTCAATGTCTTGCTGACCGAGCTAATTTGGGGRACAATTAAGCATTTCTAGCATGAGTGAGAGTAATTGTTGCTCTGATTGGGGATCGAGTCAGGAGGAGTCACAGATCACAACCAGAATGTGCTTGAGCAACTTTTATTCATTACACTGATGAGTAACATCAAGATGTTCCTATTAATGGCTCATTAATATTCTATTAATAATATTAATTCTATTAATAATACTAATTCTATTAATTGTAATTAATACTATTAATTACACACACAGAGCTCTCAGTTACTCTCCTACCACACAATCCTGTTAGAGCAACAGCAGCTGACTCAAAGGGTCACACTGACATCAGTACCTTCAAGGTGCTCAGAAAGTCACTTTGGGGTCCTGTTTTTATCAGATACCTGTGTACATAAATATAAATAAGATTAAAACGGTAAATATTGTGTACCACTGTAGTTTTCCTTGATACAGAGCAGCCACCACCTTCTTGAAYGTGCTCCAAGTTACTCAATCCCAGCGTAACAGTGACACTCCTTGGATAGTTTATCAGGCCCTCGGTGTTCCCACTTTATCAGCTTCCATGGGTCCAGCAGCAGCACAAATCTCCACAGTTATCARTTCCTGGCAGAGCTGTCTCTCAGCTCGTGCTTTCCCTGGTTTTGTTGTTTCCTGGGAGCTGTTTCTGATCCATACTCTGTGTTTCCAATAGCTTGAAAGTGTCTCCAACCTGAGTTGGAGCTGCTGGGTGGATAAACTCAGCATTTTGTATGTTCCAGTGCTTTTAAAAACATTGATCTCTGCTTCAGGGACAGCTGAAGAAGGTGGAGAATTGAAGGTGTTCATCCCTTCCTCTCTCCCTTCCCTGTGGAAAACCCTGGATGCAGTGGAAAGGRCTTGGACACAAATAAATGCACGTGGAAAGCTGGAAATGCAGTCAGCAGATCAGGCTTTCCTGACTTTCCCAGTGTTCCTCACCACGGCATCTCAAGGGCAGAGATGGATTAGATAAATTCCTGTTATGGGAAACTTGGGTCAAAACTTCTCTCCTTGGAAAGGTGGCATTGATTTCCAGCCTGAAGGATCTGTTTGGGCAGCAGTTCTTCTATGGGATAAACCCAGTTTATTGGGATAAATCTGATTCTTGTACACTGGGAAAGGAGAATTAAGGAATTTTTCCATTTTTGTCCTTGTTGATGCAGATTTTTGCTCAGGTGACAAATTGCACCTGAAGAAAAGGCAAACCAGTTTTTTATTCTGATTTATCTTGAGTGCAGAAGGCAGAAAAGCAGTTGGAGTTCACTTTCAGAGGTTGGTTTCTTGGTGATTTGTCCAAGAAAGAGTAGAGAAAATTAAAGAGGACATTTAATGTTACCTTTAATGGATATACTGGATCTGGTATGGCCTTTTTTGTCATTAAAAATTATATAAATAGGGCAGTAACAACAACTTCGAAGGTGAAATTTGTGTGTAGGAAAGAAACAATTACAGATTTGTTCCTTAACAAATAGGAGATCCTAATTAGCTCTTTAATTTAAAAAAAACCAACAATACAGGAAATGACATTTTAAAAGAAATACCAATTTTATCTGATTTTGCTAAGTTTCTTCCTCTCCTGAAACTATCTTAACACTGACATTGTTAATAAGGGATTTTTTTAAAGCACCGAGCTATAATATATGCTAAAACCATTCTTTAAAACCTATAAATTCAGTTTTAAACACCTGCCATGCTCAGTCTTTGCTCTTCTCCTTTGTCCATGGGTATTTGGAGAGTCACATGAATCTGTAACTGAGTTTTATAGGATTGTGGTTCTTTTATATGGGATAAGCCATGGAAGTCCTTAAAAAGAAACTTAATATTTTTTTYTYTCTCTCCTCAGAATATTGAATGTTTTCCGACACTGGGTCGAGCACCATTTTTATGATTTTGAGAGGGATCTGGAGCTGCTGGAGAGGCTGGAGACCTTCATTTCCAGTGTCAGAGGTGCAGTAAGGAGGGTCCTGTTCCCTTTCCAGTCTGATCCTGCTGGSTTTTAGAATACCTTTACACACATGAGTAATTTTAATGCCTTTAATTGAGCTGTTTATGAGGCTCCCCTTTACATGAGGAAGCYTTGGCCTGGAGCCTAAACAGGCTACATTTTTCCTAAAATTGACTTCAAGCATTAGSATAATAATGCTCTAAATATATTTCCTTCTGGACAATATGGTCATCCTTGCCTGACTCTGTAATCCACACTGTCACCTTCCCCTTCTCCACAGAGAATTCCTTACTGAGTTTTTTCCTTTTTTTTTCCCTTTGTCTAAAGTTCCAGCTAAAAAACATGATCATTTTAGAAAAAATGATCATTTTTGGCCCAGTTGATGTCTGTTCTTTATCAACTCAATTTTTTTGGCAGCCTCTGTGGAGGGCAGCAGTGTTGGCATGTCAGGTTTAATCTTTATCCTGGCAATTCCAGCCTTTTCAGAGTGCAAGGCCTTTCACTGGGCAATAGAATTCTGAGAGAAACAATTCAAAGATTCTGGATAAAGGGYCACACCAAAACTGTTAGAGGATGTGGTTAAATAGAACAGGTTTCACATGTTTCTGTCAGCTGATAGAGGTGCAAGAATCCCTAAGAAAAAAATAGGGAAGTACAAACCTGATTGATTTATGTTAGGAAATGCAGAATTCTGAGTGTAGATTCAAATTTTGGGGGAGTTGTTTTTACTGTATTACCAAAAGTCATTTCAAAACGTTGAATTATAGAACGGTTTGGGTTGAAGGGAGCAGAAAGGTGATCTTATCCACCCCCTGCCATGGGCAGGGACACCTTCCACTGTCCCAGGCTGCTCCAAATTCTGTCCAGACTGGCCTTGGGCACTGCCAGGGATCCAGGGGCAGCCACAGCTTCTCTGGGCACCCTTTGCCAGGGCCTTACCCTCCCAGCCAGGAATTCCCAATTCCCAATATCCCATCCATCCCTGCCCTCTGGCAGTTTGAGACCATTCCCCCTTATCCTGTCACTCCAGTCCTTGCCCACAGYCCCTGTCCAGCCTGAGATCCAATTCCTGAATATATTTATTTACAGACTCCAAATATCCTTCCCTCCAAATTGCTCTGTAACATTGGCACTTATGAAAGAACATCAATTTATTAAAAACCAACACTTAGAACAAGATTAATGTGCTTTCCTCCACTCTTGGACTCGAATTTAACCCTCCCTGTGTTAAGTTTAAAATTTAACTCACGACAGGATTAAAAAACTTGCGTGGGGTGTTTTGGTTTTTTTTTAAATGATTTCTGTTCTGTTTTTCTAGGCAAATCCATGAAGAAGTGGGTGGAGTCCATCGCTAAAATCATCAAGAGGAAGAAAGCCCAGGCAGATGGGGTCAGCCACAACATCACCTTCGAGAGTCCCCCACCACCCCTGGAGTGGCACCTTTGGCGAGTGGGGCACAGTGAGACCCTGGACCTGATGACCCTGCACCCCATCGAGATCGCCMGGCAGCTCACCCTGCTCGAGTCTGACCTCTACAGGCAGGGCTCAGCTCTCACTCCTTCATTTTTTTATTTATTTATTTTCATTTATTTCATTAAAAAAAATGCTCTTCATTCACATAATCACTTAAAAATAATGACCCCGCCACTTCCCGAAGTCCCCGCGAGGTTTCCTTGGCACCTGCTCGATGTTAAATATGCAAAGGACCACTCTTCTTTACAGTTTTATCTCCATATCAGAATTGTGACAACATAAATACATAGAGGATAATTCAAAATTATCCTCCTTATTATCCTTACAAAGTTCAAATTCTAACATTCCCATCCTGCTTCAGTCCCGGGAGGTTTTGTGTWGAAACCAATTGGTGGGTGCAAGTGCTTCACCTTCCTATTTTTGATTTGTAACTCTTTTTAAAAGTTGTTTTCTTGGCTCTTCAGAAAATTTAACTCGCTCCTTTGTAATTTTCATATCTAAAAATGCTTCTTCAAAACTACCCAATTTCAATTAAGATAAAATTGTATTTCCCTCTCTACTCAAGCACTTGTCCAAAAAGTTCTTTTAAGTCATGTTTTGTGGAAGATTAGGTAGGATTGGATTTGTGAAATACCARGTGATTAAGGGAAGAAATAATCTTTTAATGCAAACACAGAAATGACAATTTTTATTTGTGCTGAGCGTTTTGCCTCGTGTTTTGTCACTCCCAGGGCTGTGCAGCCTTCTGAACTCGTTGGCAGTGTGTGGACTAAGGAAGATAAAGAAATTAACTCCCCAAATCTCTTGAAGATGATTCGGCACACTACAAATCTCACTCTCTGGTTTGAAAAGTAAGTGCAGCATAGTGGCATTAACCACTTTTACCCTGGATCATGCCAGGGGTTTGCCTAGTTTATTTTTGAGGCTTTGCCAAATCCTCCCTTGACTTTCCAAGTTGARCATATGTAAGATGTGATTACATAAATTTGTACTTGAGATTCTAAGAAAAGAGCCTAAATCTGCATACTGGGTGGGTTTTCTGGGAAAAAATTATTTAATAACACAAAATATCAGGTTTTATTYCTGAGTGTTTCTCAAATTTTTTGATCAGGTGCATCGTGGAAACGGAGAACTTTGAGGAGCGAGTGGCTGTGCTGAGCAGGATCATAGAAATCCTGCAGGTTTTCCAAGATCTCAATAATTTCAATGGTGTTCTGGAGATTGTCAGTGCTGTGAACTCTGTCTCGGTGTACAGGCTGGATCACACATTTGAGGTGAGTTTGGGTGAGATGGAAAAAAGAAATTAAATCAGAATCCAGACCTGGATCACACACACGGTTCTGAAGTGAAATGCATTGTTGGCAGCAAAGCTTCCCTTGAGGAAAAAAAATATGAATAAAATGGTTTGAGTTTTGTGTGGCTTTTAAAGGCAGCATGAGGCCTTCCAGTTGAAATCAAATGTTTAATTTTTATTATGGATCATCTTGTTAGGATGATCTTTAGGGGTGATGATCTTAACGCACAGGGTTATGTTTGTAAATTTAAAATAATCTGTTTTCAGTAATCTGAATTGTTGGGCTGAGAGTGCTGTAGTCCCAAGCAAACCATTGACACAGAGATTCTTTGAAAYCTGCATTTCAATTCCCAAATTTTGCTCAGAGAGCCAGGGAATTGCCTWGGATTTGCTAACCAAGCTGTTGAGAAGATTTCCATCTATTTATTTTTATTTTGACAACTTCAGGCACTCCAGGAAAGGAAAAAAAGAGTTTTGGATGAAGCTGTAGAATTAAGCCAAGATCATTTCAAGAAGTATTTAGCTAAGCTYAAGTCAATCAACCCACCCTGTGTGCCTTTTTTTGGTAAGTCACATCCAATTTTTTGTGTGCTGTCAGTCTAAAATTGAGTTTGCTGCAGGTGTATGGTTCAWAACTGCTTTTTTTAAATCAGGAATATACCTAACAAATATCTTGAAGACAGAAGAAGGGAATCCTGACTTCCTTAAAAGACAAGGGAAAGAATTAATTAACTTCAGTAAGAGGAGAAAAGTGGCTGAAATTACAGGAGAAATTCAGCAGTATCAAAACCAGCCTTACTGTTTAAGGATTGAGCCAGAAATCCGGGTGAGCAGCCATYWAA